AACTAGTTCGTTGAGTACCTATAGTAAATCCAAATAAACTGGACACAGTTTGTCTGGATCAAAGTCAAAAATCATTTATTTATGTAGGTAACAAATGTAAGTACACTTATGAACGTTAAAAAAGAAATATACATTCTTAAATTATATGCTTCTAATTTTACATTACTGCAAGTTCTCAAATAAAGGGCGTAGAACGGAAGAGAGAGTGGTAATAAATTCTCCGCCGCTCTTTTTAATCGCCTAGTTTTTTGTTTTACACAACGTTTGTAAGGAGCAACCATTACACCATGTTTCACATGCTAAGTAATAAATAATAAAAAAATAAATTAAAAACAAAGTTTTGTCCTCTCAAATGATGAACAGATTTAATTCACTTATATACTAAGGCCAATGACATACACATCATAACAATATAGCCATTAAAATGTCACAAACCTATTGAAACATCAAAACTTAAAGATTTATACAATAAAGAAACAAGGTCCTTGTAAAAACACGATTAGTGCTTAAACATCAGTGCGACAACCCTACCCCAGGGGGGTGTTTAGCGCCTGAATAGTGAGAAGTGCAGTCCGGCAGGGAGTAACAACCCGAGACTGCAATGCAATGAATACTTACCTCTAGCGATTTCTCTTGTCCTGGTACTTGGTTCTGAGATTACGTAATTTTCCTTTGATATACGATTTTCTTTAAGGAAATTTAATTTTTGCATTTAAAAAATCCTTTTTCCCATAAATAAATATTTATTTATTAATAATTTGGAATAATTTTGGATTTACGTTACTTAATTGTTAACGAAATTAAACCAAACAAACAATGTTGGCATAGCTTATAGCCCAGTTTTTCATCTCTTCATTAAAGCTTCAATACACACACATAACACTAACCACTTTGTTAACGATGATTCAGAATATTTAACTGTAAAACAAAGCATAATAGCAAGTAGAGTCGACACGTTTTATTGCATTGAGGCGAGCCCCCACCCACCCACTGTCCTGGCCATTGCCCCACAAGTTAATCTTATAATAACGAAAATATTTGTCCAGATTAAAGGTCGATGACCCTTGTTTATCCCTGGATTATCTAGGCTTTAAATTATAAGGGTTGTGTAAGATTTGTCTAAGTAATTGGCATGAAGGAAAAACATCACTACCACGCCATAGATGGGCGTCGTGATTTATTGCTTACAATGACTTCTATACTTCAAATGTGTTGAATTTTGACGTGTGAGTCAGTTTGTGTCAAGTCTCGTTACATGAGAAATAGACAGGTCACCTACCTATCTATAAAAATAGGAAACATGTAGAATAATAAAAGTATTATAGTGACACTAACACTAATACACTTTAGTATTTCCGAATCAATTCGACTTAGGGTCCTTCAAGAAAAGAGCGTACCATTTCTTAAAAGGCAACGCACTTCTGAGCCCTGTGACATTGAGAGTGTCCAAGGGCGGCGGTATCACTTACCATTATATGAGCCTCCAAAAAAAAACAGTAATCATTAGTGTTGGCCTATTGGCTTCAGCGTGCAAAGCTCATCCCTGAGGTCGTAGGTTCGATCCCCGGCCGTACACCAATGGACTTTCTATGTTCGGATTTTACATTCGCTCGAACGGTGATGGAAAACATTGTGAGGAAATCGGCTTGCCTTTCACCCAAAAAGTCGACGGCGTGTGCCTACTTGCCTATTATTAAACGATCTTGAAACATATACAGAAATGAGACCCAGAACTAAAAAGGTTGTAACGCTTTATTTATCAAGCTAGACATGAAAATCATTTCTATGTTTGAAATCGTTTTTCCTATATTAAATGACATTGTTAAACTCGCTAGTCTAGTACACGCTCTTTGACAATCTAATAAGATTTATGATAGAGTCTAGACGATTCTCGAAGTTAAATCGCTTGAAGTACTTAGAGCTTTTGATACATTAACGTCTTAAACGAATTCTGGGATTGAGACAAACTGTATTTTTTTCTATATTTACATATATATTGTTTGCGTTAAAACATATTTCAAATATATAACTTTTTTACATAAACATATGTTTAATTACACTTTGGGTCTTATTAAATACAATGTCCAAATTAATGTATACATTTTTCGAAAGCTTATTGGCAAGAATATGGTACAAAAATGTTTTGGTGGTACAATCTAAACTTCGCATTTTCTGCCACATATAATGGCGTGCAAATTTGCCAAAATTTTTAAAAAGTAGAATTTTACATAATACTTACATTATCAATCATATCATCAAAGTCAATTTCTACATCATCACATTATTAAAAAAAAATCCAAAAGTAGAGTTTTAAAAACCCTAGTACGAATGTCTTTGAAAGTTTTTGGTAAATTATTTTAAAAGGTACAAAAGTACATTTCGTCTCCCCAATTCGGGCGCCACCCGAGGTACATTGTTCCAGCTTGTCACTAACAATATCGTATTCATGACTACACATTCCTGTTATACAACCATTGCGATGATCATTTATAAAGTTAGGTACTAAATTTAACTTTATGCACCATCCTAATCTGACTTAAGAGCCGAAAAATGTAAGTAGTAGTAGTATTTTTAATAGAAGAAAATTAAAATGAACAATGAATCACAGGTAATACTACTGTTTCGTTTAATGTAAGCGCTGATTACACAAGCTAATAACTCTTTGTTTGCGCCTGTTCTACGCTACATTTACTTTTCTAATTAATGTCTGTAACTGGAATATTAAACACAGAATCGCAACGCAAATTAAAAGTAATTCACCTTAATAAAAAGCAAAGACAACTGTATGGAAAGGACCAAGAGGAAGAAGGAGAAGATGTCGCCTAAAAAAAGGTGGATAGAAGAAATAGAAACAGTTGCAGAAAGCGAATGGAGAAAGAGAGCCATAGACAATTCAGTTGGAAAAAGCTGGAGGAGGCCTTTACCCGCGAAGGGGTTCCGACGGTACTGAATGAAGTTAGGATATAGGATAACAAGAAAAATTTTTTTTTAACAATGTAAAATAATCTAAGCTGTGTATTATAGTTTTTTTGTCATGATTGGAAATAAAACGGGCTTTATTATTATAATTAAATCAAGCAAATTTATTTAAAATCTCCTTGTATTCTTACTTAAAATGACCAGTTAAATCGGGAAGTGTCCACCAGCCGCAGGATTGCGTAATTACCATCAAGGAAGTGAGCCGTTTGGGGGCCAGCAAAAACGTTGGCGATGCGATCACGAGCGGGAACAAAGCCCGGGCGTAATTTGAAACAATTGGTGGTGCAAAGCGGGCGGTGCGCACCCCGACTATTGATCTGTGCCCGCAGCGCCTCACACCCCGCCGCCCCCGCTGACGCCCGGCGCCCCGCGTACCACCCCGGCTCCTACCAGTATTTTAATTGCAAATCTGACGGGTAATGTGCAAATAGATAACGTTATTATACGCGGCTCGCTAATTATGATGCGATTGAATTACCGCCTTTTCTTTTTTTAATTGGCGGTTGTAGGCGATTAGATTTGTTGTATCGCCTTGGGGTGCACCTGCTTAAATGCCTTATCTACGGTTAATGGTTTCTTTATCAGCGTTTTAGGGCTATGCGATAACGTAATTTTTTTAGGTTTTTAATTACACTTTCGTAAGAGTTTAGAGTTTGTTTGCGAGTGTCGTAAAACAGGCTAGGCTTACTTTAAAGAATAGATCTCATTGTTCATTTCATATAATACGCGTTTAGTGAATTAGGGTCATGAAATGAATACGTATTTATCTATACTAATATCATAAAGAGGAAAGATTTGTATCTAAGTATGTTTGTAACGAGTTGGCACAAAAAGTACTGGGCCGATTTTAAAAATTCTTTCAACGTTTGAATGCTACATTATCACTTATATAGGCTTTTAATTGCTAGAAAAAATTAAGGATATATATTCGAAACCTGAGTGATGTTGTTAAAAATTACCCGTAGATTTTATTTATTCTGTTATCATTTTGTTTTCATCAAGTCCCGTACACAAAGGGAGCCAGCGATACCCTAATGCTAAATCGTCGATGTATAATGATAACCTCTTATGTCCAGAAATATTATAGGAAACGAAAAAAATGTTTTATTTCGTAAATGTTCGTTAATATTATTATGTGTTTTTGTCCATAGTTTTAGATGGTAAATAGGACTTATTTATTAATAACATAAATAAGTCCTTACTTGATAATTATACCAGTTAAATGACATAAGAGCCTGCAAAAAAAAATGTTTTTTTTTACATACGAGGTTATCATTCTACAGTGACGAAACACATAATTATTTATGTTTATGCCAAAAAAAATATCCACCCGCGCGAAGCCGCGATGGGCCGCTAGTATTTGTAACAAGATTAAAACAATATTTGTTTAAACTGAAATAATTTGAAAACAATCCACTCAAAGGCCCCGAGATGAAAGAAAACGTTGTAATAGATTGTATCGTTTTAATTTGAATTCTTGAAATAAACTCGTCAAAGAATGAATAACTCTATTGTTTGGTCGAGGATGATAACCGACCTTCATGAATAAAAAATCATGTTTTTATACTTGTAATGGAAAAGGGAAATATGCTAATGCTACCGTTTAGCTTATTTTATTCATATAATGGAAGTTTATTCGTTGCTGTATTATGGTGCCCTGGTTAATTTATTTGACATTACTATGAATGTATTATTTAAATATTGTTTTGTGTACATATTATTAAATGATAGTCGTACTCAAAGTCGTTGATTAAGAATTAACAAGGTTATTAAGCGAATTAGCCTAAGCTTAACTAAAAGCTAATGCTAAACAGTATTTAATTAATAGATTAAATTGAATTGCACCGTTCCATTTATCTTATCTTTAGTTTATTATAAAAATAATATAATGGAGTGCTATTTGAATTTGAAAAGCTTTTAATTAATTATCTTTGAATCAGTATTGAGAGACGTTAAAAGAAAGTCTATTTTTAAATCTAAAGCAAAGCTGTAAATGGTTGAAATGTAGAAAATAATAGAGAATGTCTTTGCATTGTTTGAGATTAGAGTCGTCTAGAGATCGGCGCAAAGTCATCCGGTCGGTAGCCTCGCGACCTTTCCCTAAGGGTGCGTCCGTACTGACATCTTAGCACCTAGCACTTTGTTATTCTAGAGGCTAAGGTTCATAGATGTGAATTTATATGTCTTTACATTTATACAGTCCTAGTACTTCTGCTTATGTTTCATACATTTAACACGACGAGAAACGACTTAACGGTTAACAAAACAATATCTTTTATCGTGTGTCTTACTTAACAGTTAAAAATATATATAAATAATAAAAAAAATATAAATAATATATTTTATATTATTTATGTTATTTTAAAGCTTTTCTTAAATTAAACTTAGAGCCTCTTAAAATAGAATGAATTCCGTTTTTATAGTAGAAAAGATTTTAGAGGCGCCAAATGTAGAGTACCAGGAGATAATAAGTTTCAGAGCATGGTTCGATAGAAGAGGTTACGCTAAGTGCTACCAGGGTATAAGTAACATTGTAGGAGTGGTTTTAAACGGTGTCTATTCCTTAGTTATTGTAACGTATATTTCTTATAATGTATGTTAAATATCGTTGCAAACATTCCTGTCTGCATCAGTCAGCCCCAAGGTTTATGCCGAGTTTATTTACAGGGTAAACTCAACATAAACAAATAAACACAAAATCCCTAAACCACACACACCACTAATTGTTTTTGCTTATGTAGATAATATCGTAAACGATTTATCCTTTTACTATGACGACATATAGAAGCTTACAAAAACTAAACGAAATGGTTATTATGCATTCATTTGAATACTGTACATTTTTGTAAGCATTTCTTTACTACAGTAGCGGATCCGACAGACGTTATCCTGTACGACTCTACTTGAACACACCATAATCTGTCCAGCCGTTTAGGAGTTTAATTACGAACACATGAACAGGAGATTTATATATTTACTAGCTGTTTATTTGTTGTATAGATAAATAACCTAGATACCGACTGCAGGGCCATCTGACGGGCTGATTTGTGAATCTAAACCATCAAGGGCCACCCAAACGCGTACAAAAACATTCATTCAAATCGGTCCAGCCGTTTAAGAGGAGTTCACTGACATACACACGAACAGTACAATTATATATATATATAGATGTAAAAATATAAAATCATATTTAACAATACTCATTTTGCTGTGAATTTGTATTCCAATTCAAACGTGTTATTATTTTAAATCACCTGCAGAATTCCTAATGATTATATCCTGCCTTAACAATTGCGTCTTAAGATCTCACTGCGAAATGAGCATTGCGGTCGTTCCCAGGCTCTTTAGAAAATATGAAGAGTCATTTGTAACGTTTACAACGCGGTTTACACTTAATGCGAGGTGTTGTGTATGCGCCCTAACGTTAGGTTCATTGTTAGGTAACCTGCTTTCTACTAAATGGATCTTTCACTTCCCCTCACATCTGGGTCAAGTGATGTTGGATTATTGGTTCGCGAACATAAAATCGTGTTTTATATGAAAGTAGAGCAGTGTTGGCCTAGTGGGCTTCAGCGTGCGACTCTCATCCCTGAGGTCGTAGGTTCGATCCCCGGCTTGGCACCAATGGACTTTCTTTCTATGTGCGCATTTAACATTTGCTTGAACGGTGACGGAAAACAACGTGAGGAAACCGACATGTCTTAGACCCAAAAAGTCGACGGCGTGTGTCAGGCACAGGAGGCTGATCACCTACTTGTCTATTGGATTGTTAAATGATCATGAAACAGATTCACAAATCTGAGGCCCAGACCTAAAAGGTTATAGCGCCACTGATTATTATTATTAGTAAATGACAGTAAGAAAATGAGAAGAAATAATGTATTAGCTAATGTATAATTTCAGGTGTGGATCCAGCTAAAAAGAAAATGAAGAAAAGGACGGGTTTTGCGCCAAATATGAGCGTTTCTCAAATGATGGTGCAAAGGGAGAGACCCCTCAATGAGTTCAAGGTACTTGACATTACATATTCATAGCCGTGATAAGAGTTGAGACGTTGCCAATAGCGGTGCCTGCGGCGATTCTTTATTTTTATCACATATCAACTATGAATACCGTTATCGAATCGCTTTTGTGAATCATATTTATAGGGCAATTTACTTGATACATTGCTCACGGGTTCTTTTTATTTTTCAGACTTTTGAAGATCAGAAAAGGACAGCGTCTCCTGGATCTATAGTTCAACGGCCTGCGAATCAGCATTGTTTACCCTTCCCACATCAAAATATGCTTAATGTTATCCCAGAAGAAGTGAAACACGAAACGCACGTGCAGAGAAGTTCACATTATTTGACTGTTAGTAGTGGTTGGATAACTCAGCACCCAGAAAATATTGAAATGAACCAGAAATCAAATCAGGCTATGCCATCCACTGTCAATAACGCTTTAAACGTTGGTCTGCCAGTATTGGGAACTAATGGACAGATAATAGGTGTTAATACAAGCTACAATAAAACACCTAACGTCAAAAATTCTATGAGTATCATCCCTCAGAATGTTATAGAACAGGAAAGAAAAGAAGATGACAAGGAATTGCAAATAAAACAGACGAAAGAGGAGTCTCAAATATTTTGCGGATTAAATCAACCTCTTACGCCAGAGGTTATGCAGAAAATAAATGAACAGCAACAAATTTTCATTCAAAGAAATCAAAAGCAGATAGAGGTCATGAAAGGCTACAAAACGCAAATGACAGAGAATATAAATAAGAATAATCAAGTAATGCAAAATCAGTTTGTACCACAAAACCAATTGGTTATACAGAATGGCGCTGTTGTTAAAACAAATTCAGCAAAAACTCCGCCTTGGCAGGTTAAAAGAACTGACAGTAGTACCCCTAACTCATTAACAAGCCCGAGCCCAAAGTTACAGAAAATAGATGCTTTGGATTATGATGTTAGCACAAATCCAGAAGAAACCCCCCAAACAAATAATTTCCCTAAAAACGAACATAGTGTGAACCAAGTGATGTGCCCCAGAGTACCTCCATTACCGCAGCATTATAACATGATGAGTCAGCAATGGCCCAACGTGGATCTTAACAAGAAGAAAGGGAAGGTGAATAAAACACCTAAAAAGAAAAATAATCAAATAGAAAACAAGCAAATTGTCTTCGGAAACAATGGAATGAAATATCTGCAAGAGCAAAAGAAAACGTGTGACGATATTATGAGCAGTAATGTTCCATCATTTATGGATGATCCAAGCGGGTACTTGGCACAACAAACTGTTCTTTTAAACAACACCATATCTCGTCAAGTCGGCGTCAATTCGGCGTATGAAGGCCATCCGTACGAAGCCTCCACGAGTTACAATTCACAAAATCAGACCGAAAAGGGAAAGCCAATGACTAAACAGTATGAACCAATCAATGTGTTCAGAAATAATATGGTACCAAATTCATCTCCCTCTCCTCATACGCCGGACAGTAGCATTGTGCCTGAAAAGACTTCCGAAAATATGTCACAATGTTGCAAAGGCTGCAATGTAACATTCAAAGGTAATAATTGCGAAGGAGACACTCACATGAGACATAAATTCAAACATAATATTTACCAGGATCTCGACACGGCTAGTCCAAAACACGGTTTCGACGAGAGTCCTGTCACATCGTCGACGTTTCTCGAAAGAAATACCTTGTCGAATGAAAATTGTGGGCCAATTCAGGCGGGCGTAGTCAGCACCAGTAACGTGTCACCGACAGAGACTCTGCAGCCTCCAGAGCCTTCGCCGACGTTATCTAATAGTTCACGAAGTACTGACACACCGCACAGTGGCGGCAGCAATGGCTCTCAACAGCAGAATTGTACATTCCCTATGCCCAGCCCAGCATATTCTAACCCTGGTTCTTGCCGTGATAACTTCAGCAGTAACCCCTCAACGCCTAGTAGTCAAGGCTACCCTTACAATTCGCCTGGGCCTCCCAACCCTCAATCGATAACCGGAACTCAAATGATGCACTTTATATCAAACCACAATGTAAATAAGAACCTTATGGAAGTAGATAACATATCAATGGTCGGCGTGAAACCTGGCCTAAGGCAGGAGACGTTTAGACTCGAACCCAGAAGGAGGTATGAAAATACTATGCCGGGTTATTGTCCTCCCCCTCATTTAGGCGGAGGGCCACCGTATTCGTTGATACAAACGAATTACATACAAACATTTGTCACTACCATGGCGAGTTTCTCTGTGCTTAGGGATACGATTACTTCGGTTTTGGCTGGAAAAGCCAACACGGCAACGACCTCTATAAATGCTTCACATGCTAATTTCATCAGACCTCCACCACCTCCAAGCGTCAATTTGGCGACTACATATGCGATACCAAACAATCAACCGGATCCATTTATAAATTCTGTCAATCTACCCACGAGTTATCCTCTTCATATCGCTGGTACTACGGCACAAAATATGATCTCAAAGTCTCCATTAGAAATGGTTCAAAATGTGATAAGCAGTCTTCCTGCTAAACCGGAAACAAGTAATTCTCAAAGTATATCAATGACCATGGGTAAGAGAGCCACTCCAGGTCAGATTGTGATCTCATCTACCGGTCAGATAATCGTCAGCAGCAACCACATGCCACCCCCGCCACCTAAAAATACTTCGGCGGTATCGCAAATGTCCAATGCTGTGACAAATGTAACCTCTTCAGTGAGTCAAATGGTTCCAGCCGGGCAGTCGATGGTGAATCAACCGACAGTTGTAGTCAATACTTTGCCCACGCCTTTTATGATTCAGCCTCCCATGATGGCTGTTGATGGCCAAGTTGTACAACAAAACACCGTGCTTCCACAAATCGTGACCGGAGGTCTAGTGTCTGGCCAATCTTGCGAAACATCTCGGCAGATTGAAGTTAAAAACGGACAGAGCTTCGTGCAGGGTGTCGCGATGCTTTCGCCGGAAAGTATTAAAAAGAGAAGTAAGAAGAAGAAAAATCAAACTGCAAATATAACTAACGTCTTGCAAATAACGGCTCCACAGCAGAATCCCAATAATATCATGCTCCACTCGTCGCCTCAGCATAATACTAGTCCACAGTTTTCTCCTCGAGGCTTTCAGCTGTCACCGACAAACAATATTTCACCAACCCCGATGCTGCAAGCGCTCACAATTGTCCCCGGGAAGTCTGGTACTCCCGCACATATCGTCATGAACGGACAAGGCAACTCTAATAGTTTAGGATCACAACAATTCATCACAAATACATCGCCATCACAACAAATCAATTTATTGCAACCCGTCAATTTGATAAATAACGCTAGCAACGTGATGTCAAACTTCCCAACGTTCCAGCAATTCATAGTACCCAATCTCGGGGGAATGGTTATGACGGCCGATGGCACGACAATTATCCAGGATAATTCTTCTGGAATGCCAATGCAATTACAGTTACAAACTGTTAACGGCCAAAATGTTCTTACGCCAGTACAAAACCCGGGTGTATTTACCACAGGAACTAACAGCGGCGTCGTCATACGTCAAAATCAACAAGGCAAGATCATCCAATCTCAACACAGCCCCGGAGCACAATTCCTGTCCCCTAACAGTCAAGTGATGGTGAACAGTCCAAACTTCAATGGCCAGTTAAGCCCATTACTGGCAAACTTAAGCCCGACGAATGTCACCTTCAACCAGAATCAAGTTAGATCTGGCAACGTTCAAGCCCAGGAGTTTATACAGACCAATCAAATCGGGCAAACCTTGATGGTCCCCTTATCTCCCAAGCAGGTCACCATACCGGCATCCAACAGAAGTAACTCCACATTCGTTCAACAAAACACGACAATAGTGCAACAACAAACAACCCTCGTTTCCAACTCTCACAACTCCCAATCCACGAACTTACAAGGGAACTCATCACGTTTCATGGATGCTATGAACAAAGCACAGAAGAGGTTTATTCAAACAGAAACTTTAGAGGATCAAAAAGAGCGGCCGCAGTCGGCCCAAATCCCTCAAGAGGATAAAGTGAATTCCGAGGGCTACAAGTTTCTGAATGAGTTCAGTCCGCAGATGGGGCAAGAGGAATTTTCCGTCCGGCACTCGGTGTCCACGCAGACGTTGCTGAACCAGCAGAGGGGTGGGAAGTCTCCCAGTAATCAAGCTGTGACGGGGAGTAGTCCTCCAGATACGACGACGCACAGTCCGTTGGGTGCATCCGAAGCGGCCAGTCCTAGAATTTATGGGTCACGGTGCGTCTCCACTCAGGGCAATTACGCAGATACAACTACAAAATCACCGGAACCCGCTGATGTCAATTCTTCGGTAAGTTTGTTTGAAAGTAATCTGTACAAGTAAGTAAAATAACTTTAACAAACAAATCCCTAAATATATTATTTTTATACGTCAATCAGGTGACACAAACGGTCACAGATTATTCGTATCGATGCCTTTGTCTGTCTTGGATACCGTCTTGGAGTTCAATTTCGTTTGAGCCTCTTTTTGATCAAAATTTGTATTTGTATAAGGGAGCGTTCAAGTATTACGTAACGCAATTTTTGGAGATTATTGGACCCCCCATGAACTCGCCGTAACGTTTTTCAGTACCCAAGTACAGTACTGTATCCAAGTCCAGTAAAACTTTTCGTGACCACCTAGTGACTCTTTAGTTACTATTATGTGGTGTAAGTAGAAAATAATATTAACAATAACGCGTAATTCAATCCCCGTCCCGCATCGAAACGTTTTACAAAAGGACCAACCTCCCAAAATTCGTTACGTAATACTTGAACGCTCCCTTACTCGTTATCTTCCTTTAGTATCATTGATCGGAACCCCTATACTGATAAAGGCCCCCTCCAGCTTTTTCAAAATTTCCCTATCAATGGCTTTCTTCCTCCATTAGCTGCTACCTCCGCTTATATATCTTCTATGTATCTTTTTCTAGGGACCCCTCTTCTGCTTCCCATAGTTCCTTTTCATATAGTTATCTTTAAAGTCCATCTTTTATATCTTCATATAGCTATATGAATTCCAACCTTTTGAAAAGTATTCTCTTAAGTACCTTAATACATATAACCTGTATCACAATTACACGAGATAACGAAAATTATTTTTGTTCTTTATTATAAAAGTAATGAAATTTTAAAAAAGAAACACGAAATAAAAATTTTATTACACAAAGTTGTTAAAAGCTATAAAAAATTACATATTTCAATCCACACTTTTAATTGAAGCACATTTTTGGCTTTGCTAAATTGCGTTTAAACTGTGGAAAAATACAGATGAGAGGAATTCAACAAAAGTACTGTATAAAGTATATTGATATGGTATGTCGACGATTCCAGGGTATGGTACAATGCGTGTCAAGCAGTGAACAGGACATGGCAGAGTCCCAGGAACGCGCCTGGACTGTTCCCAGGACTGAACAACCCCACGACACTGATGCTTCCAGTAAGTTGTAATATACTTATGGAATAAAATTTATTTATTTACATAAGAATGGGGGGGCTTATTTATTTATTTACATAAGAATGGGGGGGGCACTGTGACCTACTTCCCAAAGGTAATATTAAAGTCAAATTATTTAGTTTCAATTAAAATGTCACTTTTAAAAGTCAAAATTATAACATATAAATATTATAAAAAAATACTTTAGTTGCCTCTTCCAAAAGGTAGTTTCATATGGAGGAGAATAGACAAAAAACTACATGCTTAAAATAGTTTTTACAACATTTTTATAGAGTTATTAAGAGTGATATGTGAAAATCATGTACGTAGAACAAAAACAAACTACTACACTAAAATAAATTAGGTGCATGGTGTTATAAAAAACAATGCAGGATATAACTATATTATTATGTACCTCACGTATTTATTTTTGTTTCGTATTACGATAAAAATAAACAAACACCTAGCTTGATGCTTCTTAATATATATAAATCTCATGTCACAATGTTTGTCCTCAATGGACTCCTAAACTACCGAACCGATATCAATCAAATTTGCACACCATGTGCAGTTCGATCCAACTTGTGAGATAGGATAGTTTAAATCTCAAATTATAGTCGCAATTTTAATTTATTGCAAAATATTTGTTTATTATTTGATACAATTCTAACAGATGGCGCTGTGTTAAAATTATCAACGTTTCACATAAGCTGTCATCTTCCTTACACATAAGTTCTCCTACCGTTTCCCTTGAATAGTTTACTACTATGTAATATAACAAAAATCTTAGCCAGAGCAACGCTTGGCCGAGTCTACTAGTATCTTATAGTTATTGGATACTTATCTGACTAAAATAATGAATAATAATTAAGAACATCTCTATAAAATATTTTCATGGATGTTACTATTTAGTTTTATTATGGGAGGTCTGGGATTTCTGGTATTTTTTTACTTAAAAGGGTTCCCAAATGAATTTTTGTCGAATGAATAAACACGTATTTTATTTTATTTATTAATTATGACGAAGGCAACGACGTATTCGTGAACGAGTCATACTTGTGTGACTGTAACTTGTATTAGTGTATGATATTACTAATTTCAACTCATTAAAGTGGGCGTTCCTATTTCATCTACTGCACTTTAATTTCTTATTTAGTTATGCTCTTTACAAGTATTGTAAAATGTTCTACCCTTATTATTTGCAAACTAGAAATGGACTTAGGGTCCTTCAAGGAAAGAGCGTAACAATTGTTAAAAGGCCGGCAACGCATTTACGAGTCTTCTGGCGATGTGAGTGTCTATTGGCACATAACACTTAACATCGGGTGATCCTCCTGCCTGTTTGCCGCCTATAATTTAATAAAAAAGTCAATTTATAAATTGTTTTTCATGTCAATTTATTTATAAAAACTATTTCCAGATCTCCTATCAAACATGCAGTTGATGCGTCCTAACCGCGTGGAATCTACCGAGATGCCATACCTTGGCCCAGCACAGCACCAACTTCTGCCCATGGGCTCCAATATATACGACCGGCCTCCATGTTACAAGCGGAAAAACGAATTTGACTCTTACAGAAACGAGAAGATTATGAGGACGACTTATATGAAAGATCTGGAATATGACATGCAAGAGAAGAGTCATTACCAGGGAACTAGTTCGGACAAATATGACCGGATGGGGCCCGGACATGGTGAGTTGGCTTATGGGACTATTTATTCTTTTGGATGTCAATTTTCATACATACCTTAAAGAGAGAGAGATTTACAACAATTTTTAGACTAGGGCCTGACCATACCAAATTCCTGAAATCTGAAATAATAATAATAGCCTTTAATTCAGATACATTTACATTTAAACACGTCTCTATTTCAATCTTCTTTTAGTGTATCTGTGTGCCAAATCTGGAATAACAATATCACACATTTTCTTTTCTTCAATCTTTTTTGTATTTATTTTTCTCAAGTCTTTAGTGATAAGTAATATATAATGTTATGTGGCTATTCAGGCATCGTATTTAAATATCTAAAGTTTATTTATATTTGTTTATAAATGTAAAAAAATACTAGATGGTTTAGATGTGAATATATAAAGTATATTTTTAATTTAATCATTTAATTTAAAAAAAAACATTTAATTAAGTAATGAAAAACAGGTATGAATGAAAATTGTTCCATCCATGTCACGAAGCACCATCCTGTATATACACTGAATAATTCCTGTGTACTAATCGAAACCATTTCACGCTTATCTCATAGCTAACAAAATTCAAAATTATTTAATGTTGTGTCTTGTATTGGTTATGTATTTGCGTCCTCATTATTCGCGAACTCAACTGTAGAATAGCGCCATCTATTGGCCAATTTCGGAGCAAGTTATCCTAAGGTTTCTTAGGGAAATTTGCTTAATATTGAAATATTTTATGACTTACGTCGCGTTATTCAATACTCCAATAAAATTTTGTAAAAGGTACACAAATCTTCATTTAATACTCTTTCACTGCTGTTTGTTATTTATATATTTCGTTTTTAAGATTTTGTTAATGTTTATGACCGCTTTGTCTATCTTTTCCCTAAATTCTTGGAGTATTCTAAAGTACTTTGACATCTTTATTATTGAGTTCGCGAATCGCATTCGGTTTAATAATGTATTATCGTATTTCAGCTTCCTCATAATGCGATATTGGTTTTCTTTGGTTGGGTTAATACAAGATACAGCTGTAACGGTGTAGTGGAAACCAATTTTATATATTTGTTTTCCGTTGCACTTGTCCAAGTAACAAAATTGGCTCACGAATTGGGATTATACTAACGCATCATTGTAAAGCGATCATTCCATATCATTGTAAGTAAGCACATCTCATTCTATGTACATTGTTCTTGATTAATCGTTGTAATTCACTATTTGGAACTTTCTAAATCTTAATTCAAAGAAAAACGTTGTGACTTGTAAAATGTTTTTGAAAGTAATCTTTATAAGTAAGTAAAATAACTTTAACAAACAAATCCCTACTTAAATATATTATTTTTATACGTCAATCACGTGACACGAAACGGTCACAGATTATTCGTATCGATGCCTTTGTCTGTCTTGGATACCGTTTTGGAGTTCAATTTCGTTTGAGCCTCTTTTTGATCAAAATTTGTATTTGTATAAGGGAGCGTTCAAGTATTACGTCACGCGATTTTTGGAGATTATTGGAACCCCCCGTGTAACGCGCCGTAACGTTTTTCCGTACCCAATAGTAAAACGTTTCGTGACCAGCCAGTGATTCTTTATACCTAAAAGTTACCATTATGTGGTGTACAGTTCTGGAAAGTCGAATATAATATTAACAATAACGCGTAATTCAATCCCCGCCCCGCATAGTAACGTTTTACACAAAATTCGTTACGTAATACTTAAACGCTCCCTAATTTAAAACGTTTGACATGCTTCATCATAATAACTGGTGCGATGCCATCTTGTCTAGTCGCGTTTTGGCAGGAAATTATGAATGACAATTTACGTAGTCACTAATAAATATTCTGATTTTATTTAAATCTTGTCAAATAGCCCATTTTTTTATGAACGTTCCAAATAGTACTATCTTAATACACTTCGCAAAATGTTCGATCTATGTAACTATAAGCTTTTTCAATTGTTAACGCTATTAGCTTGTATACATCAGCACCAATTCGAAGACAGCAATGTCATTCAAAAATGGTTTCATGTCTGGGGTTTCAGAATGCAAATAAAAATTGAGAATACAATAGTTGTATACAGGCTTTGGGTAACAAGGGTCGAGACCGCGTGAACTATACGTCAACACGTGATGAATTTTGATGTCATAAATTGTTGGTTCGCCTTCTCAACTCTGTACCCTCAGTCTAAGGCCAGTATTCCAAAACGTGGACAAAAGATGTGATCACAGTTCAGACCAATCTTGAGTAACGTTCTGAAATACCAGCCTAAGGGTAAAAAGCAAATGCGCTTCGGCTTTCTGATCGAGGTGATGGATCGGTGTCGGATAAAGTCTAAACGTCTTGGTGTGTCAGATGCGAAGAGCGAGTCCAAGTTCCAAGTGGGAGATTTAGTTTGGGGGCCGGTCAAGGGTTACGTCTCCTGGCCGGGGAAACTGATGGGTCGGTGTGATGATGGCAAATGGAATGTACGCTGGTTCGGTGGTGACAAGCCGCCTAGTAACGTGGAAGACGGAAGACTGCTGACCCTCACCGAAGGGTTGGAAGCTCATCACGCTGCACGAACCAAGCACAGGAAGTGAGTGGACGTTACGACGTTTGGCGATACATTGTCTAGGAATCAGCTGTTATATAATATATTCACTTGTAAGAAGAATTGTATTTTTTTATGGAAAATGGGAGAACGGACACAAAGCTACGATCCTTTCAGCCGTATAATAAAGTCTGGACTACATATGTACTATTTTATTACGTAATAATGGTAACAAAGACCTTTCTATATTTAGTCCACGTTTTATAAAAGGCCGTTGTTATTTCGAAATGAAAGAGCCTTTTTCCTATGCGTCAAACATTCATTGTAGTTTTTTCTTATATGAGTTGTTATTTCTAGACAATGTACGATTTTAGATTTAATTTAACAAAAACATGTAATATTAACCCAACCTAAAGATAATCAAAATACAAAATTTTAAATGTTTAAATTATGTTTCAGCATGAGTTGTGTTATTAGCTCATTTAACAATGTTTCGTAATATTCCCAGGAGCAGAAAATTAAACACCCTTTTAGAGAATGCTATTCAAGAAGCGATGTCGGAATTGGATAAAAAAAGCGATGGTACTAGTGAAAGTGTCGATTCGGAACGCGGTGACACATTTGTCGAAGAAGAGATAACAGAGACTCCAAGGAAGAAGAAGGATAAGAGAAAAGATAAGTGTAAGAAGAACATAAAAGTCGAAACTCGGTTACGGAATTCACGATGACAATTTTTGGGCAAGTTTTAATGGAAAGTCATGATTTTATACGAGAGATTTTCACTTGTAAATACGTTTTTGGTTCAAATTTTAGATGCTCGTTAGACATGATCAATATTTCGATGGTTCCTAATATCTTCGAATGTTATTCCAATAGATTTTAGATATAGACAGTGTAGTTGGAGGCAGCTGATAGTACTCGGTGTACTTATAGTCCAAGCTGAATTGTAACATGTATTTTTATTATTAAAATATTATCCACATTAACACACTTATTGTCATAGTAAGTTGCTTAGCGCATAGTATTTGAATTTTTAAGTCTAATTTTATGGTTAAACTGAAGAATTTATTTCTTATCGTCACAGCGTATCGACAATTCGACGGAAAGAAACGAAAGAGTGCTTTGGTTGATGGAATTAGTTAAGTTCTTATTAGAGTAAGTTTTAAAACACTTACGAAACAGAAATGTTTAAAAACGTATAATAATTAATTTGGAGACCTTTGAGTTCAGCTTGGATCATTAGTAACCATGAAGTATCTTTCAAAGATATCCTGATGTAGAATTAGGTTATCTTGAAAAAAGAATTTCTGATTTTATAATACCCCAACTTTATATTAAAGCCAGTCTCAATAAGTTTACTGTAGCTAGTGTAATTGATTTCAGTTTCCAGATTTCTTTATCATACGTTATTGAGATTGGCTAGATATTGAGATTTTTTATAATTCAGGAAAGAAAGTTTTGTGTCTAGAACAAAGTTTGTTTATCGTGTATAAAATGGCTTCAAATGAAGCGTTTCATATCAAATTATTTATCCTAGAATAAATGAATGTCTACTTTATCCGAATCGATGTAACCACTTCATCGACGTTGTACAATTATAATAAGGAAATACGCTATTTATCACTGTATATTAAATTTTTGTTAGAAAATATATAATTATAATTTCTAGTCAAAATATTCGATTGTAGATATTTGTAATTGACAATAATTCTGGCCTGGTACATACATAAGTACAGTATTTATTTTACAATTTGTTTTTCGCGATTTGAGCAAGTTTTGTTATTAATTTTATAGTGACAGACGGGGGTGTAAACAGTGTTGCCATTTAAAAATTTTATACGAATACCAAAAGTCCTAAAAATCGTGACAAAAGTCATAAAAAACTTATGAATCAATTTCAAGTTATGGCTTGATTAAAATCAGTGATTTTTTTTATTACATTAACCAAGTGTTTGCTTACTTGATATTTTTAACTAAAATGGCAACACACTGTTTCTTCGCTAATGTGACGGAAATTTTAATATGTAGTTCGATAGGCCTATATGACATGATTTAGGCCAGACATGTCAATATTGAACAAATTATTTTATTGTGATAAAGATTTTTAAAAATCATAAACAATTCGAGATTTTTTATAACATCACGGGCGGGTACCTTTATTTTAGTTTTAAGTTGCGCGTGACAGACGACAGACTGAATCGATTCCATAGATTTAAAAAAATGCTTTAGTCTGTGGCCTGTCATGGCTCCGTACAAGGGAGATGCGCTTTTTACAATCATAATAATATAGATATAAAAACTTTAAAATAGAAGACATTAGATGTGCAACTATAGGCAATTTGTTAACAGTCATTGTTAGATAAGTGTAAAAATAATTTATGTGATCTTTGAAATTTCTTAATCATAGCTTAGTCCAGGAGTCTATCCCTGTTGTGAACTTTCCATAGGACACGGGGAGATGGCTTTCAGACATAACTGTTTTTATATTATCGCAACTTAACCTTAGGTATTCCATTTAAATGTCCTAAATACAGTCTCGAGATGAGATATATAATGTTATATTGTTTTATAAATGCACAGTCGTACCCTCTGAAGCGGTATTATTGTAAATATTTTAAATGTAGTTATGTATAGTATTTTATTTCAGTGAATTAAATGTTTTATAGACTAATATACAACATAAGATTATTTATTTGTTTTGCTGTGTAAATATTTTTTTCAATAAAATGTACCTGTTTTTAAGTGAGTCTTGTTATTTCTAACCCCAATCTAAAGTATAATAAGGATTTTATATAGGCTAGAAAAAATCATTGAATACAAAATATACTTTTTAGAAGAACATTTAAAACACGATATTTTTGTATATTAACACGAATTTAAAATGGAAATTAAATCCCAGATATTCAAATATGCTGAATTTTATTCTTTTTTGCGACAAGAGGCAAACCAACGAGCAGACGGTATACTTAGAATTAATTGCTTAACACCTGAAACTCCAGCTTTCAAGTGCCTTGCCAGCCAGGTTAACAGGCAAATACCGCGTACATCCCAAAAAGATTTCCATGGCCTTGCTGCCCGAAAGACCTATCTTGGTCTTCTTTGATGCACGTACACTAAGAGAAACCCACTGTCTTGAGTGTTCTTAGGTCCCAGATGTAATGAGATGAAGCCATGTTTCAACTATGGTATCGCTAAACACGTTTTTCATTTGAACTGGTCACACGGTCGCGTGTCAAACGCGGCACCCATCGTGCGGATACCTTTTTATATCCCAATACTAATGTAAAATGTGATGGGTCCAGGGTCTGCCCAGTTTCAGTCACCTCATGCACTTTAATTTTTCAATGTCACTACATTTTATTGACGGTTTTTTGGTGTAAAAACCTCTTCGTCCTAACGTCCGGCGTTGTGCTGGTACGAACATAATAAACAAAAGAGCAGGAGGCTCTTCTGAAGTTAAGTCATATTGTCGCCCATTGAATCACGCTCACATTGTCAGAGGGCTCGCGAGTGCGTTGCTTTTTAAGACACGGTAGGCGCTTTCTTAAGGTGGGTTGTAAGTAAACCACTTGTGAATTTAAATTTATGGTGCAGAGTCCTCATAATATTTATCAAGCATTTTCTTCGTATTAGTGATGGTTTTTTACGCAAAAAAATATTACTTACTCATTCTCGGATTGCTCTTTTTTGCGATGTTGTCTGTTTCCAATCGCAAAAAAGTAAATGGCGTTTGTTTGTCTAAAATTTGACTAGTATATCAATAGATTACAGTTGATGGGGTCAGTTGATATCAAGCATCTGTTCGGGAAATTAAAGAAGTCACTCACTTAGCAAACGACGTACACTAAACGTAGGTACCTACGTTTAAAGTATGTATCTAAAGCACCAGGTTTGTGTGTTAACCGTAAAAGGCACAAAAATACAATTGTCCTTTATAGACTCCATTGCACTATTATTTTGTATTTTAAAACAGAAACAGCTGAACACATGTGCAGGAAACAAAATACGACTGAAGTCGCCATTACAGCTCACACAATATGTAGTGGGAAAGTATTATAATCATTATTTTTATTAAATAAAAGTAATTACCGTTTCATTCGGTTTTATAAGTTTGCTTATATTTTAAGCAACAGTTAGCTATAAAAATAGATTCAATTTTTATTATATCACCATAAAATCAAATTTCCGCAACGTAAAATTTGGAGGTAATCACAAGTTATTTTCTAATATATATAAAATTCTCGTTCCCATACTTCTCCGAAACGGCTCCACCGATTCTTATGAAATTTTTTATGCATATTCAGTAAGTTTGAGAATCCGCTACTATCTATCTCTCAAACCCTTAAATTTTTATTTTTAGACAAATTTTTTTGTTTTTATTTTTTTGTGTTACAACATACAAAAATACATACAACCCCTAAATTTTCACCATACCCTGAGGAAGTCTGAGGTTATATAGAGAAAAATTACAGAAAAACCTAAAAAAAAAAAATATTCTGGAAAACAATCAGTCAGTCCGAGCAGTCTCTGGGGTAGCAAAGCAAAATGTTCCATGTTGGTTTGTACTAAAATGGTAGCAAATCTGTGCTGCTCTTTAGGTGGAAACGACACAGATCACTAAAGACATCTCGCTCCGGCAAGTCTTCGAAAACCGCTATCTTCGCCGAAGCTTTGGGAGGGCTGGCGAGAAACCCCGATTAGCCAGCAGATCAAGCGACAAGCAAGTGGAAATGGATAGGCCATACACTCAAGAGATTCCAATTATATTCGCAAACACGCGCTTGATTGGAACCCGCAAAGAAAGTTGAAGTGTGGCCATCCCAAGCAAATCTGGCGTCGTACAGTTGAACATGAGGTAAAAAGAGCAGAAAAGACTTGGAGCGAATAGAAATACGAGACTCAAGACCGAACGCGATGGGGAGTCATTTTGGACGCCCTTTGCCCCATCTACGGTTTAAAGGACATTAAGTAAGTCAGTGTTCGGCTTCATTTGAGATTAAGGTTGTTTAAGAAACAGGCGCTTATTGCAAGAATCGGAAAAACAATATAAACGTCACGCGAGATTCACAGTTTTTACCACTGTCTGAGTACGTAAACTACACCATTACTGTGCAGTTCTGTGGAGCGTATAGAAATTGCTTTCTTGACTATAAAGGGTCGTTTAGGCTTCGATTGGCATTTTGTATTTCACTAGTTACGTCCGAGCCATGTGATACACTCATTTCGATAATTTGTTTTCTGATACGTGTCTGTGACAATTAATTCTTTAAATATGTTTTTTTAATGTATGCGTATTATTGTGATTCATTTTGGTTGTCTCTAATTATAATTCTCTTAAATTAATAACTGTTAAAGAATGTAGTATTGACTGAGATGATAGATATTGAATGTAGTGTGATCTTTTTGGACTTCTCACAAAGATGGAACTTGCAGTAAATAAACCCAAATAAAATGTTAAATTGTGAAGTGGAAGGGATTATTTTTTATTTACTTATTTTTTCTTTGATTATTGTGATTTTGTGTGTTTATTTGTGTGTGTTTTTGTTAGTAATAAATATTTGTCTATGTCTATGTCGGTCTATGAAGTAGCAATCAAATATTTTATTTATGTATTGTTAGTGTGGAAGCTGGGACAATCCATCTTCTTCAGGGGCGGATCTACTTCAGGGCTTTTTCGACCGCAGCCCAAGGCCTCGTGGAAAAACAATAAGCGACATTTTTAACCTAA